CAGCAGGTAGGAAAGCTGAAACATACCTTGACGTTTTTCTCTGAAAGATGATTGCTGTTGGTGTCGGCGCGAATGAACCACAGCAGCTCCTCAACGATGCCCTTCCAGTAAACCCGCTTTGTCGTGAGCAATGGGATAACTCCTAGGAATACTTCGTCATGAGGAATTCTTCAGAGACGAAGAAGCCCGTAATGCACAATATTGCAGCCCCCAAACTCTCCAATCGTCTAGAATTTCCAGAAGAAGTCTTCTAGTTCCCAAATGTTTGCATTGAAACTTGGAGAGGAGTTCATATGGTAATTATAAACAGATATGTGAAGAAAACTAGATTGGTTTTGCATTTAAAAGCGTCCCATCAACGCATACATACTGGAATGAGGGATTCACGTTCGTAAGGTAATGGTCAGGTGCAATATGACTAAAGGTAAAAAAATATTACTGTAAGAGCGCGTTCAGACTTCGCGATCGCGCGATCCGATCGCGCTACTGGGATGGGTGAAATTCACACCGGGAGGGGGGTCATGTTTGTTCATGTTTATTGTGTTTATTTAAAAGAGAACAGGAACAATAAACATGAACAAACATGACCCCCCCCGGTGTGAATTTCACCCATCCCAGTAGCGCGATCCTAGTCGAGCGATCCGATCGCGCGATCGCGAAGTCTGAACGCGCTCTAAGCTCTCCTGAAGCTGCAGAATCCCACAAGTTCTATGCTAAAACCAACATTTGAATAAAGCGGTTTACACGGTTCTCCTGCAGCTCCTAGAGTACGATCTTGGTTTCTTGCACACTCCTGCGCTAAAGGCCGCATAACACAAGAACGAAAAAAAAACAGTGAAGAAGTGTCGTGAAAATGAAGTTGCCATTCTAGCGAATTAGGGGCCCTTTTGCCAACAACATTCTGAGGCATTCAAACCACTCTTTTTGCAAAAAGGAATGCCTCAGTGGTGATGAGAGCTTCTACCTCCAATCTTAAAGGGGGAAGGAACTTCGCTGTTAGCGAAACAATGCGGTACTTGTATTTGGATAACGTCACCCCACTTCCGTACAATGAATCCTCCTATTGCCCTCATCATCGAGATTATCGGGAGACGGTCAAGACAATCGTAATTCATCGCTCCGTCACGGACGATGTTCTCCAGATTTGCACTGAACTGTTGATTGGAGCAGCGGATGTCATGTGGACTACGGCATCGTAGACACTTGGCTATTTTAGGTGGACATTGTCGTCACCATCTACGACGGCTCAGTGGAAAAACTCACCCATTTTCGTATGCGGCGTGGTGTTTGGACGCCACCGCAGCAGCATGGCGGAGCGAGTGGCGATGACCTGCGCCCAGTCAGCAGCCGCTTTTATGTGGAAGGAAAAAGAGGGGAAAAGAGAATTGAACAGGTAGCAAATGCTTACAGGGGAGTTAGTGGTAGTGGTGAGCAGAGAATACAGAAAAGTCGACTAAAAGGGCGAATTACTTCAGTCAACGGTGAAACTGGCGAAATAGTCCCTCTTCGATTGCGAAAACGACGCAAATAGACTTTAAGCAAATGTTCACAACTCTCAACTCATGTTGGCAACTCAT